TCATGGAATGATGTCAGTGAATACCCAGTCAACCATGGACTTCCCCGCAATATGAAAATGCAGGGCTCTACTTGATTTTTACTGCTGTGCCTTTGATTTTTATATGGCAATAATTACCCAGGGTTATGTGCGTGTAGCTCTCATTGGAAGAATTGCAGAGCTGTGCGGAGAGTGAATGGCGTTGATTGTGAGAGGAAGCTCAAAATAGCTTGAGTGGGAAGCATTATTGTTTCTGAGGGAGAACCGTCTCCTGAATCCTTCACAGTAGAGATTCTGAAGTTACAGAATGTAAATGGAGAGCCATCAATATAAGGGACCTCACTGATTTATTACGGCGTTCCCAGGAAACACAGAGGGTAATATTATTTATCTGTATCGTACAGAGAACAATAACAAAGAGGATAATAATGAAGAGCATACTTTGTACTTGGTGCTTTGTTATAAGTCCTACAAGCATGAGTCTCACACATGGTGCCATGAATATTTCCACCGACTGATGAAACAGTCATATAGAGATCAATATTTTGCATTGATATGGGCTTTGTTCTATTGATACAAATTTAAGGTCAGTTTGTTACTGTGTATTGTTGTGCAGCTCATTTAAAAATGTCATGTATAATTAAAAATTGCAGATTAATAGTCATTTATAATAGTCAAACTTGTAGTCATGTTAGTTAGGTTTTCTAGATATCCAGAGATGTATTTCAGTTAGATAGATAATCTTCAACTCTTCAAAGACCCCTCTGTATGCTATGAGTATGTTTTATTACCATTGGTTAATGAATAAAGCTGTTTCAGCCAATGGCTTAGCAGAGTAAAGCCAGGCAGTAAATCCCAACAAAGATATAGAGAAAGAATAAGCAGAGTCAGAGAGAGGCCATGTGGCTGCCAAAGGAGACAGACACCAGAACCTTGCCCACAGGCCACAGCCTTGTGGCAATACATAGATTAATAGAGATTGGTTAATTTGAGATATAAGAATTAGTTAATAAGAAGCCTAAGATAATAAGCCAAGCAGTGTTATAATTAATATAGTTTCTGTGTGATTATTCAGGTCTGTCTGAGAGGTCAGGAAACAAGTGAGCAGTCTCCATCTACAAAACAGAATCCTTTTTTTTTTTTTTTTATACAGAGTTTCTCTGTGTAACTAACCTTGGCTGTCCTGAAACTCACTCTGTAGATCAGCCTGGCCTCAAACTCACAGAGATCCCCCTGTCTCTGCCTCTGAGTGCTGGGATTAAGGGTGCTCACCCCTACCCCGACCCCACGCAAAAAAGAATCTTAAGTAATCCATCTAAGGCCAAATTCTTAGTGGAAGAAGGATCTTCATTTGAACTGAGGGGCCTACCTCCAAACTGATGGCTTAGCTTCTGCTCAGATAAACAAAATGTAGCTTGAACGATAAGTGGTTTATTTAAGGGCCTGCAGGCATTAGCATAATAAGAACCATTTAGTTCTTATCACTTAGGAAGTCATTTTGGCCAGACCTTATATTCTCCTTCCATTGATGGAAAGAGTAGAACCATCCCTCTGAAGTTAGTCGTACCCAACTCCAGTTTAAGGAAAGGGAGGTGGCTCTAGTGTCTGGGTGACAGGCCCTTTGTTGACCTCAAGGTCACAGTGACTCACTTGTACCTATCTCCAGGGATGCTCTGAATGAGCTAATAGTTGTTGGTATTTCTTCTAGACAATATTTAAATAATTCTGCTTGTCCTTAAGGGTAAGTCAGCGCCCCTGCACTTTACCAGACAGATCTTAACATGCCTCATGTGTGTGGGAGACTTATGGTGACCTTATCCCATAACAAGTGTCTTTAAATACTCTCCATCAAAACATAATGCTCACTATTTCATCCCATTTTCAAAGATCTTTAGTATCCCTTGTGAAGTATTATCCCCCTGACTCTGCCTTTCATTAGATTAGCATACACATAAAGAAAGCCACCCACTGCCTAAAACCTAGTGGATTTAACAAGTAGTGAATATCAGCCTTGTGATCTCCCGTGGCCACCTTGAGCCTCCGTGTGAGGACAGGTGATGTCTTGCCCTTTTCTCCCCTGGCACCTTATTTCCAAATATTCCTGAGGCATTTAGCAAGCATTCAGTAACCTTGAAATGTTCCAATAGCTCCGATACCTTTTAAAACAAAGATATTTAGAAGACACGTCTCGGCTCTCTGCTCCTCCCTGTTCTAGAGACAGCCGCTTCTTTTCGCGCAGTGCCAGCCTCTTTCCAGAGACACAATGGTGAAGGTCGGAGTGAACGGATTTGGCCGTATTGGATGCCTGGTTACCAGGGCTGCCTTCACTTCTGGCAAAGTGGATGTTGTTGCCATCAATGACCCTTTCATTGACCTCAACTACATGGTCTACATGTTCCAGTATGACTCCACCCATGGCAAGTTCAAAGGCACAGTTAAGGCTGAGAATGGGAAGCTTGTCATCAACGGGAAGGCCATCACCATCTTCCAGGAGCGAGATCCCGCCAACATCAAATGGGGGGATGCCGGCGCCGAGTATGTTGTGGAGTCTACTGGTGTCTTCACCACCATGGAGAAGGCTGGGGCCCACTTGAAGGGTGGGGCCAAGAGGGTCATCATCTCCGCCCCTTCTGCCGATGCCCCCATGTTTGTGATGGGTGTGAACCATGACAAATATGACAATTCCCTCAAGATTGTCAGCAACGCTTCCTGCACCACCAACTGCTTAGCCCCCTTGGCCAAGGTCATCCATGACAACTTTGGCATCGTGGAAGGACTCATGACCACAGTCCATGCCATCACGGCCACCCAGAAGACTGTGGATGGCCCCTCTGGGAAGCTGTGGCGAGACGGCCGTGGCGCTGCCCAGAACATCATCCCTGCGTCCACTGGCGCTGCCAAGGCTGTGGGCAAAGTCATCCCAGAGCTGAACGGGAAGCTCACGGGCATGGCCTTCCGCGTTCCTACCCCCAATGTGTCCGTCGTCGATCTGACATGCCGCCTGGAGAAAGCTGCCAAGTATGACGACATCAAGAAGGTGGTGAAGCAGGCATCCGAGGGCCCACTAAAGGGCATCCTGGGCTACACTGAGGACCAGGTCGTCTCCTGTGACTTTAACAGTGACTCCCACTCTTCCACCTTCGATGCTGGGGCTGGCATTGCTCTCAATGACAACTTTGTAAAGCTCATTTCCTGGTACGACAATGAATTCGGCTACAGCAACAGAGTGGTGGACCTCATGGCCTACATGGCCTCCAAGGAGTAAGAAGCCCGCCCTGGACCACCCATCCCAGCAAGGACACAGCAAGAGAGAGGTCCTCGGCTGTTGAGCAGTCCCTGTCCTAACTAACCCTTGACACTGAGCATCTCCCTCACAGTTTCCATCCCAGACCCCCAGAATAGCAGGAGGGGGCTTAGGGAGCCCTACTCTCTTGAATACCATCAATAAAGTTCATTGCACCCCTCTTAAAAAAAAAAAAAGACACGTCTCCTTTGATCCATAGAAGCTGACGACTTTGGAGATCTTAATGTGGCCTATCATGTTAAGTGATATTTATGGCAAATAAGAGAAATCAACAGAATGAAGCTCCGTTGAGGGACAAGCCTGAGCAGGGAGGTGTCGCTGAAGGCAGCTGGTGCCCCGTCTGAAACAGGATCCTCGTCCTATTTGGGGGGAGGGGGAGATGGGAATGTTTCTGGGAAGATTTAAGGTCAAGGTTGTTTTATGAGGACAAAAGCATCCCAGAAGGCACGAGCTGTTTCCTTCTCCCCAGGTTCCATGAACCTGCCCTGAAAGGGAGGGGGGGCAGTAGCAACAAACAAAGAGGGCAAAGCAACTTCCCTTTCTACTCTTGCCTATTCTTTTTTTTTTTTTTTTTTTGGTTTTTCGAGACAGGGTTTCTCTGTGGCTTTGGAGCCTGTCCTGGAACTAGCTCTTGTAGACCAGGCTGGTCTCGAACTCACAGAGATCCGCCTGCCTCTACCTCCCGAGTGCTGGGATTAAAGGCCTGCGCCACCATCGCCCGGCTCTCTTGCCTATTCTTAAATGTACATCACAAACATCAAAACAGCGTTTGGTAGGAGTCCAACAGATTTAACTTGTCCCCAAATTCCTGAACAACCATCCTTGTAAATTTGTTGTTTTTTTGGCAGAGTATAACTGAACAACTTCTAGGCATAACATTTGCCGTGAACACCCACAGGGGACAGGCAGCTGTGGCCACCCTCGGCATTGGGTCAGGGAGGAGAAAAGCCGTGGGAGAGGAGGCTGCCACCCAAGATCATGGTGCGCCCAGGAACTAGGCTTCCAGACCTGAGACCCCAGTTCTGCTTGGGACTCAGAGAAACCCCATTCTTAATTGTTTATTTTTGTCATTCTTGGGCCATGAAGCCCAAGAAGTCTAAGTTTCAAGGCTAGAGACTTCAGTTTGCGCTCCCCCACCCCTACCCCCACCCCTTGTTATCCTCTGGTCTCCCGGGTCCTTCTGCCTCAGTGACTACACTGCCTCTTTCTGTCCTTCCCAGCCCCCAACGTCCCCAACCTTCAGAATAATTTAGCCTCTGGGATCCACACAAGAGACCATAGTGCCCCCCTCCCCCACCTCATGGCCAGCTTTCACAGCCCTGCGCTCTCTCATCCCTATTTAAGTGGGGAGATTGTAAAGGTGAGCCAGGAGCATCCAGCAAGTTTTGACAGACGCTGAGGAGGACTAATGGGTTTCTAAGGAAACGGAGAGGCAGCAGCCATTTTAGTGGCATTTGCCGTACGAAAAATATATAGAGTCTGACATCCCCCTCCCCACGCGCACTGGGGTGACACCCGGCTGCAGAGGCCCCGAGGTGAGGGTGGCCGCGGGTCTGGCGGAGCGGGACCTCTGCAGCAGGTGTCGCGGGGTCGCGGCTCCTGGCTGGCGGGCGGGCGGGGTGGCGGGGCTCCCACGCGGACGCCGCAGTGCAGCGCGGGCCTCGCGCCTGGCCCGCCCCTCAGTCCCCGCCCCGCAGGCCGCGGGAGCCCGCCGGGAGGCGCGCGGGAGGTGGCCGCGGCCCGGGGCCACCGCGCGCCGCTGCCCAACATGGTCGCTGCGCACGCTGCACACTCTCCGTCCTCGGCCGAGTGGATTGCCTGCCTAGATAAAAGGTATGCCGCGTGGGGTGCGGGATTTGGATCGTGGGGAGCCACTCGTGGGGTGCCACCTGCGGGAGAGCGTTCCACGTGCCGGGGAGCGGAATGCGGCGCCGCGGGGGACAAGACGCCAGCCTGCCCTGGTCCCCTTCCGCCCCACAGACTCCACGCTCCACTCGTGGGTGGGTTGGGGGTTTCCCTTGGCAGTAAGACCTGAGAGAGTGGATCTTTGCGGCTTCAGACTGTCCAGGCCCTCAGGATGAATGTCCTTTAAGTTTCCAGGAGGTGTGTGTGTGTGTTGGGGGGGGGGGGTCATGCAGGTGTAGAGTCACCTTTTTTGTTTCTGAAAACCAAGTGCGAGGGATGCAGGGGAGCTGTCAAGTCTCTTGCTGAAATCCACAGCTCTTACCTTGGGCGCTCACTCAAGGTCTGTGTTAAGAAGGTCACGGGGAGGTGGCTTTCGTCTTCATCTCTGCGGCCGCAGAGAAGACCCTCACTCTAAAGAGACATTTAAACCGCAGAGAGTGCTGACTCTGGCCAGCCTCTGAGGAAGGTGCTGTGGGTGACAACGGATTGCAGTTGTTTCCAGGCTCTGACAGTGTTGTTTTCTGTTTGTCTAGATCGCAAATTTAACAGTAAACATTACACAGTATGTTAGCAATTATAGTTTATTACCCGGAAGAAAGAGGTGCTGCATCCGAACTCTGACAGAAACAAGCAAAAGGTCTTGCATTTGAACTGCCCCTGAATCTCAGAGTTCGGTGCCAAAGGCCAGGGGTTCACACCTTGCCACTATCTGCATTATATCTATATTTGCATTTATGAGAAATATTCAGTGCTCTGCCATACTAAACATTTTTCAATGGACAGATCTGTAACCAGATCAAACTTGAGGATCTCAAGTGTGGCCTGCTGTGCCTGTTTTACTGTTATAGGCCCTTGATGAGAAGATATTAACTAAGAAGAGCTAAATGTAACTCATTTGAGTAACTTAATGTGATAAACGATCTTGGCTTTTAGTTACCACACAGTAGCAGGAATATTTTTGGCAAGCATTGCCCCGTTCCTGACTAAAAATGGTGTCTACTAATATTAGAGAAATTACACACAGCAAACACTAAGACAATTGAAGAGATGGTTAAGTCATACAGAATTCTGTGGAGGAATTAAAGTCATATTTAAGCGGAGTGCCTGCTAATGTGATCAGTAATCTAAATTTAATACTTTAGGAGGAGTGAATTATAAAACAAGAGATAATCAAGAGCTTGCACTTAGCCTATAAATAGCTTAGCAGCGCATCCTCATGAGTGATAATTCTGGGTCGTAAGCAACATAACTTCTCTTTGCAGAAATAAATGCACAGTGTACAGTTTTTGAACAGTCAGTCTTCGGAAATCCTTCAGTCAGTGAGGACTTGTGGAGTCACTGATCAGTGCAGGTGGGACGGCTCTGGTGTCTCTACGGGCGCATCTGCCTACCTGGTTGTGTTTGGAATGGACTTCCAGAACATGGTGCCACAGTCTAAAGCCACCATTCATAACGAGCAAACAACAGTAACCAAACCATAATAAAAATCCCACTCCTTCTCCTGAGCCTGTTGTTTCTGAAGGGCAGGAGAATGGGCCGATCCCCAGAGCTCTCGTGAGTTCTGATCTTCTGAAGTGCAGGGTAGTGGGCCATCCCCAGAGCTCTCGCGAGTTCTGATCTTGCGCGTATCCCTTTTACTTCCTGAGTTGGAAAAATGAGGCTACGAGCTTCTCAAGCTCACCTCCCAGCAAGGGTGGACAGATGGAAGGGAGGAGGAAAAGGTGCCAAGTGCACTGAAAACAAGGGATGCCGTCTAAGCATTTTGTTTTCTGGTACGCCTGTCCTGTGGTCTTGATCCCAGAATTCTTAAGCAGGGCCCGTGAGGAGCGGCGGTGATTTCATCGCAAGTGGGCAGTTGGAGGCAGATTTTGAAGTTACGTTTTAAAAACATAGTCTGTTAATTTTTTAAAAGAGAGAATGAAGGCTGAGCGTGTTGACTAAAATTGTCTGGGAAGCTCCCTGTAATGCCTCCTTCCTGGGGCGTTGCCTTTAATGAGCCTGAGAGGTATTAATACCCTGTTCCGGGCACTGGGCTAGGCATTGAGGGTGCAACAAATGAGGGTTGCTCCTAGCTTCGGGGTGCTGATGGCTTTGTGGTGGGGTAGCTAGGTAACTGTGCGACTGCAGCCCAACGATAAATGTTTGAATAAGAATGTGTATAGTGCTTTGGAAATGCAGTCAGGCCTGGATGTAACGGGCTGAGGGCAATTCTACCAAAGGCAGAGAAGAGGGAGGAGGTCAGGACCGGATGAGCAACTTGGGCAAAGGCACACAGATGTGGCAAGGGACTCAGCTTTCCTCTCCACCTCGAATTCCTCTTGTGACCAAATCTAGACTACAGGAAGATACGCTCTGTTTTCTAAATCTTTTTTCATGTCCATTTCCAAGTGTGCATAAGAAAAGCAGGAACGATGCAGTGAAGAGGGAACCAGGACTCTGCTGCTGGCAACAGAGGGAGTTCAGCTCAGAAATGTAGTTCAAATGCATGCAGGAGCCGAGTGACCAGCAGCGTGACTATCTGGGAAAAAGAGGAGCCCTGAGATTGGGACAGAAGAGAGTAGAGGGAAGGGTGTTGTTGATGGAGATGGCTTGGTCAATAACACATCTGCTGTAAGGACACCTGAATTTGGATTCCGAACATCTGTGTTAACAATATTGCTGGCATTGCAGCAAATGTCTGCAGGCACAGCATGGGGGAGCATAGACAGGAGCTCATTGGCCAGCCAGTCGAGCCAAATTCATGAGCTCCACATTCAACAGGATACCCTGCCTTACAAAGTAAGGTCAAGAGTGACAGCCAAGGAAGACACCCAGCTTTGCCTTCTGACTTCTGCATGCATGTACATCCACACATATAACACATATACGCATAACACACACATATGCATACATGCACATGTATGCCCAGGTACACACACACACACACACACACACACACACACACACACACACACACACCAAACTTTATAAAAAGAAAAGAAAGAAGAAATAGAAACGTCTACTTGAGAGAAGACATACGTAAGGAAAATTGAAGTGAAACATACCAACACGGAAAACAAAGCAGAGAAGTGTGCACTTGGCACGCCTACAAAGCAGTCCTGGTTGGGACAACACCCTCTAAACTCACATGTGAAGAGGGAGCCCCAAACCACGTAAATGTGCCGATTAGGCTAAAGAAAGAAAATGCCGAACGTTTTAACGTCAGCTGCTTACAGTCATGGACTGTAGTCGTTCTGAGGTGTCTATAAATGTAAAACCTCGAGTGATATCAGACATTAGGATGTATGAACCGACACTGGAAAGTTTTGATAACGCTCGTGGATGCGAAGCAAGTTTACTGATTGCTTACGGATCTTACATAGGTTGCTCCTGGGGCTGAGACGGTTCACTAGAAATGAAATTGTATAATTAATTCCTACTATTTGGGATTTAAAATAGTCAAACGGCACTTTTAAAAAATGTGATGACCTTTATTTAATTTTAATGAAAGGTTTTGAGTTGGCTTCCTGTGTCTTTAAGAAGTGTTTCTAGGTAATGACTTGTAAGGGCATCACCAAGTCACATGGTTGGGGGATCGCCTGTTTCAACCGTGGTAGAGCAGGAATCAGCAAACCATGGCCCGTGAATCCCCCAAGAATGGCTCTAAAGGTTCTGATTGGTTGGAAAATAAATAAAAAGAGTAATAGTTCACGATCCATAAAGTTTATATGAATTTAAATTTCAGTGTGCATCAACAGTTTTATTGGAAGACAGCCACACTTACTTGGCTCCATATTGTCTGTGGCTGCTGTCGCTGCGGCGGCAGAGTGGGGTAGCGGCAAGGAGGCTTGTGGTCCACAGAGCTTAAATGTTTACTGTGCGAACAAACCTCTCCAGAACACATAGCCGTCCTTCGCTCGAGACGAGCCGCTCACCCCAGAGAAGGATGGTGAGCTACTAGAGGTAGCAGGAGCATCTTCTCTCTGGGAAGAGTTTGCCATTCCTTTTGCCTGAGGTTCTGTAACAGTTTTGGGAGGGGAGGTGTGGTTGTTTATTCTACCTGAAGACTCCTGTCCCACAGGCCGAAGCAGAAGATGAAGTCAAGGATGGTGGAGCATGTCAGACAGGCTCTTTTACTTATTTATTTTACTGGGAATTTGAATTTTTATTATTTTTTAATTGTTTTTGTTGAGCTATATATTTTTCTCTGCCCCCCTTCAATCCTCTCTCAAAATATCCCCATGTTCCCAATTTACTCAGTAGATCCTGTCTTTTTCTACTTCTCATGTAGAATAGATTTATATATGTGTCTCTTAGGGTTCTCTTGGTTGTCTAGGTTTTCTGGGATTGTGAATTGTGGACTGTTCCCCCCCCCCCTTTATTCTAAAAGGCACTTATGAGTGAGTACATATATTTGTCTTTCTTGGTCTGAGTTACTTCACTCAATCTGATGTTTTCTAGATCCATCCATTCAGGCTGTCATCTTTTAAAGGCAACTATATCTTTTCCTTTTTTAAAATTTTTGTTTTTATGTTTCCTTTAGACACATACACACTTCTGTTGATGCTTCCTTTGCACGTGACTTGCCCCCATATAGATGGTATGTTAGTATTTTGATGTGGTAGGAATGAGATTGAAAGAAATCAAGGAGCATGTTCGCTAAAACCAAAATACTTTGCAGGACACATGGTGCGAGAAGATGACTCAGAAATCAAAGAAACGTCAGATATGGTCTCTGGAGGGATGGAGAAGATCAAAGAAGCACACAGAGCAGAACTGTGGCTCTGGGGAGGCTGGTGTCAACCAGGCAGGACCCTAGGGGTGGCATTCCTCTGGTACTTTCTATAGGACTCAGGGCTGGCCTTGCTCACACTCCAGGATTCTTGATTTGTCAGCATACTGAGAACGCACGCATGTTTCAGGGGTGGTTACACAGGCATCAGACTCCT